TATAAGTACCAGGAGGTTCATTCTATATCTTGGAGGCCAGCCGCACATCTTAGGGGAGAAGGTAGCTCAGATAGAGAGGGGAGCACCACGTAAAGAGTATTGGGAGGATCCTCCCAGGATGAGAGATACATGCTGACAATAAACTATAGACTGAACACGATTGCCTCTCAATGCCTCTTTTGAAAATCACAGCATCCAAAAGGAGAGAGAGCACAAAAGGGAATGCCCTGCCACATAGGTGAGGTGGGATGGTGGGGTGGGGGGGTGGGTGGGAGGGATAGTGGGAGCATTGGAGGTGGAGAATGGGCACTAGTGGAGGGATGGGTACTCGATCATTGTATACCTGAAACCCAAGCACAAAATTTGTAAGTCTACAACCGTACCTCATGGTGTTTCACTAATAAAAATTTTTTTAAAAATTAAGGAACTAAAAATGTATTTTGAGATTAAAAAATCTAGAACAATATTAAAATTATCTTTTGAGTGGGGGAGGGATATTATCCTGGTGGTGGAAAATGGGCACTGGTGGAGGGATGGGTATTTGATCATGGTATGACCGAAATCCAAGCACAAAAATTTGTAAATCTACAACTGTACCTCATGGTGTTTCACTAATAAAAAATAAATTAAAAAAAAGAAAAAAATTATCTTTTGAACTATAATCAAAATGGATAAAAATCTTCATATATAGGTATTAATTTTTTTATCCCGGGAATTTTCACTCAGAAAGATAATACATATGATGTTTCTATGGCATATCCATGAAGTATTTATAGTATCATGTAAACAAACTTCAAAATGTTTAGTTACATGAATTCATACTCTAGTGTTTAGTTCTTTGTTATTTCAAGGAAACTTTAAAATTAGAGCATTTCTACTTTTGACATAGTTATTACACAATTTCCTGTTTAAATTCCATTTCTCTCTGCAAACATTTATTTTATATCAATACAAACATTATATGTTTGACAAGATTATGTTTTAATACTTTGAAAATCTATAAATATATTTTTTATAAAAATTGAAAAATTTGAAAAGTTGAATGTTTTTTAAAACGTTGATGAATTACTTTATAGGGGAAACGTTTTGAAGTCTATAAATAGCTTTTTATTTTTCTTTGAGAAAGCCATTAATTATGAGATAGGGTGGAATAATGCTCCTTCTGAGGCGCATGACTTAGCATTCTTCTGGGCAGCATACTACAGAACAGAGATGCTTTATAATGTGATGTACATTTGACTATGTCTTCTACAGTGGATTTGTAATTGTATCAAGAACAAACTAAGCTGGATTTTGTATTTATCTGGCTCAGGAAAATTACACAGATCCATGTTTAGTTGTTTTATTGCTATTATTGACAAGAGATTTTTAAAACTTTGCCAAAGACAATGGTATTGGTTTCTGAATCCTATCATTATTTTCATTTAATTTTTTTCATGAAAAGTGAAGGTGCTGGGGTTATGGTGCCGCCAGCAGGTCAATCTGTACCTGTGAAGCAAGTGCATCAGCAGCCTGATGGTGCCTTCAGACTTCCAGATACCCCAAAATTGCTGCTGTGCCTTTTGCCAGACCCCAAAAACTTGGGGCAAAGTTTACCAAGAAAGTAAACGGCCCAAAGTTAGGTATGTTGGAAACACACCCACAAACCACCTCCGGCTGAGCTATATAATTGAAGGCATGGTCTCTCTGGTTCCTGATTGAACTGCTTAATGGCCATGATCCCAGAGACTCAGAAACAAATCTCAAAACCCAGAGGCTTTTGGCAGAAATGCATCCAGTCCCTGGAGTAGTTTACCAGTGCTGGGCCAACCCAGGTGGGAATAGGTTTTGTGCCTTGGCCTGTTCCTCTGGTGGCCTGGTGGCCACCATGCTCCAGAGGCCACTGGACAGTCAGGTTTGGGCCCGCAGTGATGAGACACGTAGAGCCTCACGGGATGGGGGTGGAGCCGGTCCTGTCCTTTCCACCCCAACAAGACCCCCAAGTCATCGCCCACGAACGGCCTCTCTGGATCCTGATCAAGCTGCTTAATGGCCATGATCCCAGAGACTCAGAAAAAAATCTGAAACCCAATGGCTTTTGGCAGAAATGCATCCGGACCCCACAGTAGGTTACTGTCGCCGGGCTACCCCAGGGGGAGAAGGGTGCTGTCCCTTCACCTGCTCTCCCTTGACAGTTTGGTGGCCATCATCCTCCAGAGGCCATTGGACAGGGTGGCTTGGGTCCGCATTTTCAAAACTTCTTGGGCTCACAGGATGGGGGTGGAGCTGGTCCTGTCCTCCCCGTCCCAACGAGACCCCAAGTCATCACCCATGAACTGCTTCTCTGGCTCCTTATCAAGCTACTTAATGGCCATAATCCCAGAGACTCAGAAACAAATCGCAGAACCCAGCGGCTTTTGGCAGAAATGCATCCAGACCATGCAGTAGGTTACTGTCGCCGGGCCACCCCAGGGGGGAAAGGGTGCTGCCCCTCCACCTGCTCCTCCTTGGTGGCTCGGTGGATGCCATCCTCCAGAGGCCATTGGACAGTCAGGCTTGGGCTGCAGTGACGAAACTTGTTGGGCCTCACGGGATGGGAGTGGAGCCAGTTCTATCCTCCCCGTCCCAATGAGACCCCAAGTCATTGCCCACAAATAGCCTCTCTGGCTCCTGATCAAGCTGCTTAATGGCCATGGTACCAGAGACTCAGAAACAAATCTTGAAACCCAGCGGCTTTTAGCAGAAATGCATCTCGACCACGGAGTAGGTTACTGTTGCCCGGCCACCCCAAGCGGGGAAGGGTGTTGTCCCTTTGACTACTACCCCCTGGCGGCTTGGTGGCCGTCATCCTCCAGAGGCCATTGGACAGTGAGGTTTGGGCCCGCAGTGACAAGACATTTTGGGCCTCACAGGATGAGGGTGGAGCCAGTCCTGTCCTCCCCACCCCAACAAGACCCCAAGTCATCGCCCACGAGCAGCCTTTCTGGCTCCTGATCAAGCTGCTTAATGGCCATGATCCCAGAGACTCAGGAGCAAATCTTGGAACCCAGCAGATTTTGGCAGAAATCTCTCCAGATTTAAGTGTTAAATTTTCGGAGTTCCAAATCACACGGCCACCACTGTGGCTGCATGACATCATATGTTATTCATAACCAGCAATAGAAAACATATTGTCTACTGTTGCCTTTTCAGCAGATCTGAGTGTGGGGGTAAAATCCCAAATAATAATGGTGGGTCTGGTGTCAAAATATTGAATGTAATCAAAGTAGAGAGAGAGTAATGTGGAAATCATCTGCCCCACAGGTTGGGGGAGGGTGTGGGATGGGGTATACTGGGGTTGTTGGGGGTGGAGAATGGGCACTGGTGAAGGTACGGGTGTTTCATTGTGTGACCGAGACTTAGACCCAAAAGCTTTGTAACTGCTTTCGCGGTGATTCAATAAATAAAATTATAAAAAATGAAAAAAAAGGTAAGGTGGAGTTCATGCACAATTCAATCAGCTAATCAGTGGCTGAATAAATCGCAGTACTCCTACATAAAAAAAAGTGAAGTTGCTATACCTCTAAACATTTTTTGCCTCTAATTTGAACATTTTACCCTTAACCTTTATCAGCACATGTCAGAAATACATATTCTTTTATCAGATGTTGCATGTAAAGAATATGAAAGTTCATCATTCTAAGTTGAAATATGCTTGTAACATTGTAATTTCCAGTACTGATTTGTAAAGATAGAGGAAAAATATTTATCAACATTATATTCAAGAATTTAAAAGTTGTAAGGAAGAAACAGACTTTTATAAAAGTTTTCAAATAATCATAAACCAGAATAGGCTGAGAAATGGATTTGGAATATTCTTTAGGAACATCTTATTTACCTCCTCATTTCACCCTTTGTGATGTGCATCATTTATTTTTAAGATAATTTTTATGCCCAAAAGTCTGCTACTATGAGGGGTACTTAAAATATTTATATACATGTGTATGATTATTTATTTGGGTGATTTGGGTGGCAGGGTTTTGATGGTAAGAAGTGGACACTGGTGAAATGATCGGTATTGAAACATTGTATGCTTGAAACCTAATCATGAATAACTTTTTAACTAAATAAAAATTTTAGAAAGGTAATTTTTACATAAATGCAATTAGGCAAAATTTGTAAATAATCACTGTTTGACTCAATGTATTTTTTCATGGTCAAATTTTTTTATATTAACATCTACACCCATTATTTTTTGAGTATCAAATCAGTGAGCATATTATTTGGAACCTGTGCATGTATAATCAAGAGATTTAGTCTCTGCCAAGCCATTATTAAAATAAAAATATGTATGAAAACTAAGTGAAGGCTTAATTCACATGATTGAAAATTATAGTTTAGTATGAATAAAATGTATTATACTGAAGGAAAGTAAATATAGCTGTAGTTTACCTTATAATTGCTACTAATTGCTTTCAAGAGATTAGATCCCCCAACCTCATTTTTAATGGCAGTGGAATGATTTCACACTGCCATGGCATTAGTGGTGATAATACTAATGAATTTTATATTTTCCTTGTATAGTTCAAAGTGCCATCTTGTTAACAAGAATTCTTTATGAGAGATGTAAATGTATGTTACTAAATTGACAGGATAACTGTTTATCTTGTTTTTTCATCTCACTTCCAAATGGTGCCAACTGGATTATTGCCTTGATTTCATAGAAAATTGAATGGAATTTGTTCCTTGAATAAATGGACAAATTAATTTTAGTTTTCTCCGTTTTAAAATAGCACTTGGATACTCAAGTAGAATACCCATGCACTGAATTGAAACTTTAAAACACTAGATAATTTTAAAGTTTATTTTCTGAGATTAAACTTTATATCAAGAATTACTAGTATATTAATGTTTATTAGCTTGACCATTATATCAACTTGACCATTATATCAACTTGACCATTATATCAACTTTATATCAAGAATTACTAGTATATTAATGTTTATCTAGCTTGACCATTCATTTTTATACCCATTTTACAGAGAAATGATGAAGAGGCAGTTGTGGATAGAGGTGGAACTCGTTCGATTCTTAAAACACATTTTGAGAAAGAAGATTTAGAAGGTAAGGCATATTTTCCCCCATTGGGATATCTTTCGTTATGCTTCCAATGAAAGTGCTTATATTTAACTACTTCAGATACTACAAAAACTTCTTCACAGAGAAGTGTGAAGTGTGATACCATGTGTAAGGTTGAAAAGTAGACAGAGTAATGGTGGTGAGGGTTGTAGGGGTGGATTTGTTTTTGTGCAGTCTGGAGTGCCAACAGGTAGATCTTTAAATTCTGAAAAGTATTCATGTAAACAGATATCAACTGACTGCTACATTCCAAGCACCATGTTGTGTCCCACTTCCTTAATGATCTTTAGTTCAAGAAATTACAATCAATTAGAGACTTAAAGAAAACAATCAGGACTGATCAACATATCAAGAATAAACTAGCTTATGCTGTCAGAATGGTTGTCACTAGAAATGAGCTTAAGGCAATTATACTTTTTTTAAAAAAACTATTATGTATATGAAAGAGAAGTGATGGAACCATCTATATGTATTCATAGCAAAAGGAAGAAAATTAGGTATTCAACAGGAAAACTGTATGGTCTAGTATTTATTTTAAAGGCTTTGAAACCAAACATGTAGGGTTAGGGTTAAAATTAGTGTCATAGTTAGCTTTAGGGTTGGGATGAGGTAAGGGTTAGTATTACATTTAGGGACTGAATTGGTATGAGGGGTTCATATGGATTAGGGTTCAAATATCACTTCTATCCCTTATTTTCTAATGAATTTGAAGTCTGTTGTTAATTTCTCTGCACCTCAGTTTTCTCAGATTCTAAAATTAGGATAACAATTGAATATATTCTCAAAATTTTCTATATTCTCTAAATGTTTTCATGAGAATTAAAAGAAATCACCTGTATTCACTAAATACACAAAAACAAAACAAAATGGAAAAATGTTTATCCCAAGGAAAACACATTTTGGACTATTGTAATCCATAATTTGGATTATGATGAATAACCCAGCTGTGGAGTAAACAAAGAATAAATAGCTCTACCATTGTTTCCCAGATTGTTACTCTGAATCATAAAATAGTGCATGGACAATGTGGTTGATGTCATGTTTAAAAAAAAAGACCCAAACAGGTAGCAAAATATAAGGTGGGTAAGTGCGAAAGTTCCAGTTAGCAAAGTACTATTCATGAGGGTAATAGGGGGTCTAGTTTATTTATCCTTTTGAGTTTTAGAGTAAAGCTTGAGTTATACTTTCAAAGTGCTTCCTTGGTAATATAGATGAAGCTCATCAGTGTATACTTAAATGAAATGGACTTAGAAATTGCTGTTGAAGACAAAATGAATCCTTTCATTATGATTTTAGGTTTTATTTATTTTTCTTTGTTTTTTGTTTTTGGCCATACCTGGTAAGACTGGTAATACTGGTGTTACTCTAGACTCTAAACTCAGAAATAACTCCTGGTAGGGTTCGAGGGATCATATGAGATGCCAGGAATCAAACCCGGTTCAGCTGCCTGCAAGGCAAGCACCCTACCCGCTGTACTATGGCTCTGGCCCAAGATTTTAAATTTTAAAATTACTGGTTCTCTAGACTTAGGTGCATTTACTTAGCTAGTAGAATTGCTGGTGTAATTTAATAACATTAGTACAGCTTTCAGAAATGTCAGGTGGTTAAAAATAGCTGTGAAATCTCTGGTGCAATAATTTAATGGAAAATCATCACCCAGACATTGCCAATAGCTTGCAAAATCATCAATTAGTTATTTTTTTTAACTTTTTTCAGTATTTAATATCCTTAGTTCAGTTAGTAACTTTTCATATATAGCATGTTGCCTGTGTGTAATTGAACTTTTTTTAAATTTTTTTTTTATTAGTGAAACACCATGAGGTACAGTTGTAGATTTACAATTTTTTGTGCTTGGGTTTGATTATACAATGATCAAATACCCATCCCTCCACCAGTGCCCATTTTCCACCACCATGGATAATATCCCCCCCACCTCCATTCCCCCATCCCCCCCTGCCTCTGTGGCAGGGCAATCCCCTGTGTTCTCTCTCTCCTTTTGGGTGTTGTGGTCTGCAAAAGAGGCATTGAGTGGCAAACATGTTCAGTCCATAGTCTACTTTCGACATGCATCTCCCCTCCTGGGAGGATCCTCCAAACACCCTTTATTTGGTGTTCCCTTCTCTATCTGAGCTGCCCTTTCCTCTAGAATGCTCGACTGGCCACTAAGCTATGGAGTAATCCTCCTGGTGCTGATCTCAGCTATTCTTGGGTATTAATCTCATATTTTGTTTCTTTATATCCCCCAGCTGAATGCAATCTTTCTATGTCTATCCCTCTCTTTCTGACTCATTTCGCTTAGCATGATACTTTCCATATTGTACCACTTGTATGTAAATTTCATGACTTCATCTTTTCTAACAGCTACATAGTACTCCATTGTGTAGATGTACCAAACATCTTTAACCAGTCATCTGTTCTTGGGCATTCAGGTTTCTTCCAGTTTCTGGCTATTGTAAAGAGTGCTGCAATGAACAAACAAGTGCAGATGTCACTTCGACTATACATTTTTGCCTCTCTGGGATATATTCCCAGGAGTGGTATTGCTGGGTCAAATGGGAGCTCAATTTCTAGTTTTTTGAGAATCGTCCATACTGAACAATTTTCCAGAAGGGCTGAACCAGTCGACATTCCCACCAACAGTGAAGGAGTGTCCCTTTCTCGCCACATCCGCGCCAGCATCGGTTGCTTTTTGTTCTTTTGAATGTGGGCCAGTCTCTGAGGTGTGAGATGGTATCTCATTGTGGTTTTGATCTGCATCTCCGTGATGATTAATGATGTAGAGCATTTTCTCATGTGATTTTTTGCCATTCGGATTTCTTCTTTGAGAAAGTTTTTGTTCATTTCATTGCCCCATTTTTGGATGGGGTTGGATGTTTTCTTCTTGTGGAGTTTAACCAGTATTTTGTATATCCTGGATATCAACCCCTTGTCAGATGTGTATCGGCGAATATCCTTTCCCATTCTGTAGACTGTCTTTGTATTTTGGTCACTGTTTCTTTGGAGGTGCAGAAACTTCTTAGTTTAAGATAGTCCCATTTATCTATCTCTGTTTTCACTTGCTCAGTCAGTGGTGTGGCATCTTTGAAGATACCATTAGCTTCAATGTCATGGAGGGTTTTGCCAACTTTGTCTTCAATGTACCTTATGGTTTCTGGTCTGATGTTGATGTCTTTAATCCATTTTGATCTTACTTTTGTACATGGTGTTAGGCAGGGACACAGCAAAAGCTGTGTTAAGAGGAAAGTTTATAGCTCTACAAGCATTCCTCAGGAAGGCGGAGCGAGCACACATAAGTAACCTAACCTCACAGCTTAAGAGCTTGGAGAAGGACCAAAAAAAGTACCACAACTCGAACAGGAGAAAGAAAATAATAAAACTCAGAGCAGAGATTAACGAGATGGAAACCCAAAAAACAATCCGAAAGATCAATGAAACCAAGAGCTGGTTCTTCGAGAAAATTAACAAGATTGATAAGCCTCTAGCAAAACTCACAAAGAAAGGGAGAGAGAAAACCCTAATAAACCGAATCAGAAATGAAAAGGGGGTCATTACAACAGAAACTACAGAAATTCAAAGGATCCTCAGGGAGTACTTTGAGAAACTTTATGCCACGGAACATCAAAACCTCGAGGAAATGGATAAATTCCTAGACTCCTACAGACTCCCAAGACTGAACCAAGAAGACCTGGAATACCTGAACAGACCTATCACCATCAAGGAAATTGAAATGGTAATAAAAAGTCTCCCCAAGCACAAAAGTCCTGGCCCGGATGGATTCACTAGTGAATTCTTCCAAATCTTTAAAGAGGACTTACTCCCAATCCTCTTTAAGCTTTTCCACGAAATTGAAATATCAAAAACACTTCTGAACAGTTTCTACGAAGCAAATATCACACTGATACCAAAAGCAGACAGAGATACCACAAAGAAAGAGAATTACAGACCGATATCCCTGATGAACGCAGATGCAAAGATCCTCAACAAACTACTAGCAAATAGAATCCAACTACTCATCAAAAAAATCATACACCATGACCAAGTAGGATTCATCCCAGGGATGCAAGGATGGTTCAACATTCGGAAATCAATCAACATAATCCATCATATCAACAAAAGAAAAGATAAAAAGCATATGATTATATCAATAGATGCAAAGAAAGCATTTGACAAGATCCAGCACCCAAGTTTATGATGAAAACCCTAGCAAAATCATCAATTAGTTATTATACTAGTTAGTTTTACTAGTTATATAGTCACATATATTGTGCATTCTGATGAATGACATGTAAAACAGTATACTGTTGTCTCTCCGGACCCACTTGTTAAAAAATCATCTTACACAATTTTTTTTTCTCTTTTTTTGCTATCTAAATTCAAGAGCATACAATTGTATGATACGATTCACCTCATTTTAAAAAGTTTTATTTATTTTTATGTTAAATTTTAGTTTGCATAACATGGGTTTAATATTGTTACTGATGTAAAAAGTTACTGCAAATTACCCAAAATCCAGTCTACTATTCCTATGTTGCTTCTAGCTTATCTTTTTAAAAACAGGGACCACAACCAACACCATGGCCCTGACCAAGCTTAGGGGCTACCAGAAACACACACAATGGTACTGGGGGGCGGGGGGGCTTATGATGCTGGGTATTAGACTCATGGGCCTTGAGATTGCTGGACACATGGTCTCCCATTTGAGTTAGCTCCATGGCCCTTACATGCTATTTTTATTTTTACTCATGCAATCAGTAAACTATTTGACTTTTTTAGTATATCTTTTTATCATTACTTCCATTTTGTTCCTACTTCCTCTCTGCTATAATTTGTTCCCTCTCTCTATATTGTGTTATGTCTTTCTCACATTTCACCCTTAATTTTATTAAAGTGTTCTTTAGCTTACTTTAGTACAAATGTTGCAAGAGTACTAGACTATGAGGTTTTTAAAACAATTTTTAAAAATTGAATCACTGTGAACTACAAAA